AGCCCTTGTCTACAACAATACAAAGCTTGGTGTAATAAGACGTTTGGTGTACAACAATACGAAGCTGGGTGTACAACAATAGATGCTTGGTGTACAACAGTACAAAGTTGGATGTACGACAATAGAATGATGCTGGGTGTACAACAATACAAAGATGGATGTACGACAATAGATGCTGGGTGTACAACAATACAAGTTGGATGTACGACAATAGATGCTGGGTGTACAACATTACAAAGTTGGGTGTACGACAATAGATGCTGGGAGTGCAACAATAGTAAGTTGGGTGTACAACAATACAAAGTTGGGTGTACAACAATAGATGCTGGGAGTGCAACAATATTAAGTTGGGTGTACAACAATACAAAGTTGGGTGTACAACAGTAGATGCTAGGAGTGCAACAATAATAGAGTTGGGTGTACAACAATACAAAGTTGGATGTACAACAATAGATGCTGGGAGTGCAACAATATTAAGTTGGGTGTACAACAACAATACAAAGCTGGGTGTACAACAATAGATGCTGGAGTGCAACAATATTAAGTTGGGTGTACAACAATACAAAGTTAAGTGTACAACAATAGATGCTGGGAGTGCAACAATATTAAGTTGGGTGTACAACAATACAAAGCTGGGTGTACAACAGTAGATGCTAGTTGGGTGTGCAACAATAGTAAGTTGGGTGTACAACAATACAAAGCTGGATTGTACGACAATAGATGCTGGGTGTACAACAATATTAAGTTGGGTGTACAACAATACAAAGCTGGGTGTACAACAATAGATGCTGGGAGTGCAACAATATTACAAGTTGGGTGTACAACAATACAAAGCTGGGTGTACAACAGTAGATGCTAGGAGTGCAACAATAGTAAGTTAACAACAATACAAAAGCTGGGTGTACAACAATAGATGGTGGAGTGCAACAATATTAAGTTGCTGGTGTACAACAATACAAAGCTGGGTGTACAACAATAGATGCTGGGAGTGCAACAATACAAAGTTGTCTGTACAACAATACAAAGTTGAGTGTACAACAATAGATGCTGGGAGTGCAACAATAGTAAGTTGGGTGTACAACAATACAAAGTTGAGTGTACAACAATAGATGCTGGGAGTGCAACAATAGTAAGTTGGGTGTACAACAATACAAAGTTGAGTGTACAACAATAGATGCTGGGAGTGCAACAATAGTAAGTTGAGTGTACAACAATAGATGCTGGGAGTGCAACAATAGTAAGTTGGGTGTACAACAATACAAAGTTGGGTGTACAACAATAGATGCTGGGAGTACAACAATATTAAGCTGGGTGTACAACAATACAAAGTTGGGAGTACGACAATAGATACTGGGTGTACAGCATTACAAAGCTGGGTGTACAGCAATAGATGCTGTGAGTACAACAATATTAAGCTGGGCGTAATAATAGGAAGTACAACAGTAAACAAACTACCTGACATCAGTACCAAGTTATCATATAATAAACACAATAAACAACAATAAACAAACCGTGTACACAGCAATACCGTTGGTCTTTATGGTGCATCATGCCATACTACCTATATGGCAGATTAAAGGGCAGTCTGTACAGCTGCCAGATTCAACTATCTGGCAATTATGGCTTCTCCGCTCATAACGATATATCTACATTTAGGCTGAGATAGACTATCGGCAACCTCGTACGATCAAACGTTCGACGAGATCTTATCACACAGTACGCAAACTCGGGGCGCGCCATGTTGAACGTCAAGTGAGGGTTTTGTGTGTGACAACTAACTTATCGTGGCAATGCTTTGACGTAGTCTCGCGAGACCGGGGTTAACTATCGTAATGACTGCAGACGATAGCCCCCTGCTGCGCATGCGCCTTAGCGAGGAAGAAATGAAGTAGGCAACGAGTTATTGAAATTAGCGACCTGATGTAGATCAAGATCACCTGATAACGAGAGTTACGCCAAGTCATAGGCTTCCTGTATATGCTGACAGACAGGATTTGCGCTATTACAGATATTAAACGTTTACGCCAGGCAATCTCTTAAAGCGTGATGTATCTTTCTGAGAACAACTGCACCAGAAGCGGCTAGTATGGCGTGGAAGGAAGCTGACTGAGGACTTGTGGATATCAACAGGAATCCTTCTAGTTTGTTTGTTTAGTTTGTTGTTTAACGCCACACTCAGCAATATTCCAGCTATATGGAGGCGGTTTGTAAATAATCCAGTCTGGACCAGACAATCCACTGATCAACAGCATGAACATCCATTTACGCAACTTGGATGCGATGACATGTCAGCCAAGTCAGCGAGTCTGGCCACCCGGACCCGTTAGTCGCCTTTTATGATAATCATGGGTTGCTGAAGACCAGTTCTAACCCGGACCTTCTCAGGCATGCATCCCTTCAGATACAGTGTGCGGGGTCTGTTCTGGACACCGATTGGTTCACCCTTTGTAGTTACAGTGTGGGTGATCTCTTCAAGCTAAAGTTTTGTCATCCTTTCTAGATACAGTTTGGACCGACCCCTATTGAAACAGTGCTGGTTCTTTGTTATAGTCATCTCACTTATAAATTTAAAGATACAGCGTGGGTCATCTCACTTAGATACAGTGTGGGTCATCTCACTTAGATACAGTGTGGGTCATCTCACTTAGATACAGTGTGGGTCATCTCACTTAGATACAGTGTGGTCATCTCACTTAGATACAGTGTGGGTCATCTCACTTAGATACAGTGTGGGTCATCTCACTTAGATACAGTGGGTCATCTCACTTAGATACAGTGTGGGTCATCTCACTTAGATACAGTGTGGGTCATCTCACTTAGATACAGTGTGGGTCATCTCACTTAGATACAGTGTGGGTCATCTCACTTAGATACAGCGTGGGTCATCTCATAGATAGATACAGCGTGGGTCATCTCACTTAGATACAGTGTTGGTCATCTTACTTAGATACAGCTTGGGTCATCTCTTGGTCATATATACACAGTGTGGGTCATCTCACTTAGATACAGTGTTGGTCATCTTACCTAGATACAGTGTGGGTCATCTCACTTATATACAGTGTGGGTCATCTTACGTAGATACAGTGTGGGTCATCTCACCTAGATACAGCTTGGGTCATCTCACTTAGATACAGTGTGGTTCATCTCACTTAGATACAGTGTGGGTCATCTCATTTCACTTAGATACAGTGTGGGTCATCTCACTTAGATACAGTGTGGGTCATCTCACTTAGATACAGTGTGGGTCATCTCACTTAGATACAGTGTGGGTCATCTCACTTAGATACAGTGTGGGTCATCTCACTTAGATACAGCGTGGGTCATCTCATGGGTCTTAGATACAGTGTTGGTCATCTTCACTTAGATACAGTGTGGGTCATCTCACTTATATACAGTGTGGGTCATCTCACTTAGATACAGTGTTGGTCATCTTACCTAGATACAGCTTGGGTCATCTCACTTATATACGGTGTGGGTCATCTTACGTAGATACAGTGTGGGTCATCTCACTTAGATACAGCTTGGGTCATCTCACTTAGATACAGTGTGGGTCATCTCACTTAGATACAGTGTGGGTCATCTCACTTAGATACAGCGTGGGTCATCTCACTTAGCTACAGTGTGGGTCATCTCACTTAGCTACAGTCTGGGTCATCTCACTTAGATACAGTGTGGGTCATCTCACTTAGATACAGTGTGGGTCATCTCACTTAGATACAGCGTGGGTCATCTCACTTAGATACAGCGTGGGTCATCTCACTTAGATACAGTGTGGGTCATCTCACTTAGATACAGTGTGGGTCATCTCACTTAGATACAGTGTATGTCGTCTCTTCTAGACACAGTTTGTCACACCCAAAGATATACAATATGGGTCGTCTCTTGAAGATATAGCTTGGGTTATCTCACTCAGATACAGTGTGAGTAATCTCATCGAGACACAGTTTGGGTCACCCTTTATAGATACAGAGTGAACATCTCGTCTAGGTACAGTGTGGATGAATGAGATGGGGAGTTAACGACAGGCGAGGGCTGGAGGAGATTGATACGTACTGGGAAGAGTTGGGGGAGATTGATACGTATTGACACGAGTTGTGGAGATTGATATTTACTGAGACGAGTTAGGGAAGATTGATACGTATAGAGAAGAGTTGGGAAAGATTAATACGTACTGAGAAGGGTTGGGGAAGACTGATATGTAGTGAGAAGGGTTGGGGAAGATTGATACGTACTGAGAAGGCTTGGGGAAGATTGATATGTAGTGAGAAGGGTTGGGAAGCTTGGTACGTACTGAGATGAGTTGAGGGAGATTGGTACGTACTGAGATGAGTTGAGGGAGATCGATACGTACTGAGAAGAGTTGGCGGGAGATCGATACGTACTGAGAAGTGTTGGGGGAGATCGATACGTACTGAGAAGAGTTGGGGGAGATCGATACGTACTGAGAAGTGTTGGGGGAGATCGATACGTACTGAAGTTTGGGGAGGTTGATACGTACTGAGAAGTATTGGGGAAGATTGATACGTACTGACACGAGTTGGGGAGATCTAGACTGGCTGTATTTACGGCTGGGCGGAAGGGAAAATAATGAGGTTCAGGAACCGTGAGACAGACAAGATACAGACGGGATAGGTTTGTATGAGATTAATGCGGAACGGGAGCTGAGAGAAATAAAATGGATGCAAAAATGTTAGGTTGATACGGGTGGCAGCACAGCGATGTTGACTGGGAAACTCGATAGGCAGTTAAACACCCCCTATAGTCAGTAATAATGACTCCCCAGTACATATAGACCGCAATTTCACTGATTCCATCTCTAGTTGGTGTTTATAATGGAGATAATACCGATATTGTGTTTCACAGCTGCACAATTTAGTGTTTGTTTTGAAAGCAAACTAAGGGCATTTACCGACCAGGAATCTAACTTGACGATATTCCGGCGTCAGGACGTTGATCGCGGGAAGTCCGTCAATGCCGTCGTCCTCAGAGGCCACGCGCTGTTCTCAGAAGTAGCCACGCAGCAAATAGTTTCTCGGATACGTTAAGTAAAGTGTGTTATAGATGGATATAAGGCTAGCATCTGGTGAAATTCAACATCGTAGACTATCAGTTTAAAGCATATCAGGTGACAGAGAAAGAGATGAGCTGGCGCTGTGAATGAGTGGATGTTACACAAGTAGGTTCTCCACCAACTGCGGACTCGCTCCGAGGGTAGGACAGATCGGCTTGTCAGCTGCCGTCCCTCGACGTTTGACTATAGGAAAGAGCGAGAGGGAGAACTCTCTAACGGCCGGCTACTCGAGAGTTGAGAACGCACCCCCTCACAGACGGGAGTTGGAGCGGAGGTTTGGCTCTCCGTCGTCAGTCAAGTGTAGTAGCTGTGAAACTGTGAGCAGACGATCGTAGGCAGACGACAAGGAGCGCGCGCTGTGAAGACGGACGTCTCAGGTGGACACGAGACGGACTCGACTGTCGGTGTTTGCTGACAGATGTGCAAATATTTTTATACTCAGTGGAATTACTGTGAAGAAAATCAAATAGTCATTTCCATTTTTTTGTGATATTACCCACTGATTAATGTCCCCCGCGTCGGTGGGCAGTTGATTGTGTGGTCCAGTAGATGGCTGGCCAGTTGGCCGGAGGTTGATCAGTGGACGCGTGAGGATACCTGGGAGACTAGAGAGGACAACGTCGTGTGGACGAGATGGAGCTGAAGCCGTGGTGGTTGCTGTTGCTATTGGAGACTATTGGGATGTACGCCGTCGTGGACGCCGCACCGGACAACAGCACGAGGCACTTTCGTCATGGGTAAGTGCAATTTTATCAGCATGAACTGAATTCGTGTTGTGGGTCTTAATGACCAGCTGACCAAAAAGGAACAGGTGTCTCTTTCATCACCACACGTATCTGGATTTGGCGAATATGGGACATCAGATGTCTAATTAATCCCCATAAATACAACTAGGGTATGGGTTTTTAATAAACAGTGGACCAGATAATGGAAACATATGTCTTCTTCATCAAAATACCTTTAACTCATGTACAGTTCTTGCGACCATTGATGGATCAGATGTCATCTTCGTCACATTGCCTTTAACTCACGGTTTTGGCGACCATCGATGGATCAGATGTCATCTTCGTCACATTGCCTTTAACTTACGGTTTTGGCGACCATTGGGAGATCAGATGTTATGTTCGTCACATTGCCTTGAACTCATGTACAGTTTTTGCGACCATTGATGGATCAGATGTCGTCTTCGTCACATTGCCTTTGACTCATGTACAGTTTTGTCGACTATTGGGGCATCGGATGTACGATCTTCGTCACATTGCCTTTAATTCCTGTACGGTTTTGGTTATCACTGATGGATCAGATGCGATCTTCGTCACATTGCCTTTAACTCATGTACGGTTTTGGTTACCATTGGTGGATCAGATGTGATCTTCGTCACATTGCCTTTAACTCATGTACGGTTTTGGTTACCATTGATGAATCAGATGTGATCTTCGTCACATTGCCTTTAACTCATGTACGGTTTTGGTTACCGTTGATTAATCAGATGCGATCTTCGTCACATTGCCTTTAACTCATGTACGGTTTTGGTTACCATTGATGAATCAGATGTGATCTTCGTCACATTGCCTTGAACTCATGTACGGTTATGGTTACCACTGATGGATCAGATGTGATCTTCGTCACATTGCCTTTAACTCATGTATGGGGCATTGGCGACGATGGAGGGGTGACGTGTCTGTCGTACCTAAATCAACTACTCTCTATCACACATTACACAAACTCTTTTGTCACGTATTTGGGACGTTACTCCAGATCCCAAACGTGACATTAAACAGACTATAGTCTCGCCTACTAAAACACTACAGTATAAAGTACAAACAAAGTAAAATCTCCCTTCATTATACATTATACATTATACTCATATTCATGCTATACCTATACGTCTTTGCTTGTTTAATAGCACGCCCAATATCAGACAGTTGTCCCCCTAATTCACTCTTTTGTCACATCGTGTCGTATACTCGTGTTACCTTACATCACACAGGCACACGACGTCACAAATATTCCTGTTTACATGGCGGAAACTTCTTCTTATCATGGGCATAAATGTCAAAATGTCATGTCACACTTTGTGGAACGCCAGGACGAACATATTCATCTTTCAGTTGCTCACTTCCCAGGCATCGTGTTGCAGACGTGAACGACCTGACTTGCCAATGTATACTTCTTTATTAACCATATCACATCTCAACGTTATTTTTACATTATACCGGTATGAATATCACTGAATATACCACTGTATGTACCACTGTATGTACTACTGAATATACCACTGTATGTACCAATGAATATACCACTGTATGTACCAATGGATATACCACTGTATGTACCAATGAATATACCACAGTATAAACCACTGTATGTACCAGTGAATATACCACTGTATGTACCAATGAATATACCACTGTATAAACCGCTGTATGTACCACTGGATATACCACTTTATGTAACACTGAATATACCACTGTTATGTACTACTGAATATACAGACAGTTGCCCCCTAATTCACACTTTTGTCACATCTTGTCGTATATTCGTATGTACCTTACATCACAATATACACGACGTCACAAATATTCCTGTTTACATGGCTGAATATACCACTTATCATGGGCATAAATGTCACAATGTCATGTCACACTTTGTGGAACGCCAGGACGGGCATATTCATCTTTCAGTTGCTCACTTCCCAGGCATCGTGTTGCAGACGTGAACGACCTGACTTGCCGATGTATACTTCTTTATTAACCATATCACATCTCAACGGGTTTTTATATTATACCGGTATGAATATCACTGAATATACCACTGTATAAACCACTGTATGTACTACTAAGTAAACCACTGTATGTACCAGTGAATATACCACCGTATGTACCTGTGAATATACCACTGTATGTACCAATGAATATACCACTGTATAAACCACTGTATGTACCACTGTATGTACCACTGAATATACCTCTGTATGTACCACTGAATATACCACTGTATGTACCAGTGAATATACCACTGTATGTACCAATGAATATACCACTTTATCTAACACTGAATATACCACTGTATGTACCACTGTATGTACCAGTGTAAATGTCATTTTATAGGTCAATGAGTGAGTTTGAGTTTACGCCGCTTTTAGCAATATTCCAGCAATATCACCGCAGGGGACACCTGAAATGGGCTTCACACATTGTACCCATGTGGGGAATCGACTCCGGATCTTCAGCGTGACGATCGAACACTTTAACTACTAGGCTACCCCACAGCCCCATTTTATAGGTATACAAACAATAATCTATGTACCGCTCTATCCAATGACTATATAAAACTTAGACTAACACTTAGCCTCTGAATATATATATAATTTTGATTGTAACAAATAAATCCATTTAAAATGAAAAGGAGCCCCAGTGAGTTGGGAGATTCAGTCTGAACCTGAAGAAATCTAGACTTGCTTCATTTAGGGCTTTAGCATTGCAGAGAGGGCTAGCTGTAGGGAAAATAATATGGTTCATGGACTGTGAGACAGACTACATAAAACCCTATATACCATTTTATATACCATTGTTTAGACCTGTATCTTATACTCTATATATCGCTCTATCTACCAGGCTATGACCCGGGTTCGATGTGTGGAGCCCATTGCTGGTGTCCCCCACAGTGGTAATGCTGGAGGATGGCTAAAAGAGACATGAAACTAAACTCACTCACTCTTTCGACATGTATTATACTCTATATACCGCTCTATCTATTTTTGTACCTCTCTACCCTTGCTGTATACAAGTCCATATATATGTACAGCACAGTATGCTTTTGTACATACCACTCCGTATACAACTTTATATATCATCCAATATACCACTTTTCGAAATTCCACCCTATACCCCTATGGGTATAATGATCTATATACCACACTATATTCCGCTCTTGATTCAACTCTTTATCCGACTCTATATATCAATTGATCTATATATCTCTCTATATACCACCCCGTATGCCACGCTATAAACCACTCTATTCCACTCCATATTCCAGTCAGGGGCGGTTGGGTAGCCTAGTGGTTAAAGCGATCGCTCGTCACGTGGAAGACCCGGGTTCGATTCCCCACATGGGTATAATGTGTAGCCCATTTCTGGTGTCCCCCACTGTGATATTGCTGGAATATTGCTGGAATATTGCTATTGTACTGCTCTAAGATGTCTAAGTACACCTCTGTATGTCGCTTTATATCCTACTCTGTATGCCAGCAAGTATATCTCTATAGTCCACTTCATAAACCGCCCTATATACCATATATATGAGACTTTATTTATCTCATGCCGCGCAATATATCACTCTGTAACCACTACCATACTCTTTGTCTGTGTCGATACATGTTATCTGATACCTTTAGACCGATGCTCATAATGTCAATCACTGGATTGTTTGGACATTTAGCTGGAATATTACGGAGTACGGAGTTAAATGGCAAACTATATACAGCTCTAAATACCTCTATATACCACTTATACAACCCTTTATACACCGCTAGAGAATGTCTTAATCGTATCAATACAGTGTGACGTAATACAAAAGTGTAGGCGCATTTTATCTTTTAGCGAAGGATCTTAGAAACAAATATCTATCACTCCATGTCACACATGTATAGGGATCCATATGACATACATATGCATATACCACTCCACATGATCCTAAATCTAAGTCTCATAATATTACGTAATGTTGACGTCACACAGCAAGTTGATGACGTCAGAGTAAAGGATCTGACGACATGAATGGTAGTCTCTGTAAAAAGAGCAATCAGCAATGAAATACCAAAACTTGAACCGAATAGAAGCTAATAATTTCTACATTGTGATTTTAGCCGTTTTATTTGAAAATACTGCTATGCATTCGTCGTCTAAAACGTAGCCATCTGTGACACACTACGGGGAACAGTCCCCCAGCTCTCCGAGTAATTACGAAGGAATTGAGCCATGCATTCGGGATAGGCACTTACACTTACGCTTGGCTTGTAATGTGCAGTGATTAAGCGCGTAGCGTACACACGGTCTTTCCCTCAACACAGACCTCTCTATATACACGTATTAAAGCGATACATTGCACTGACAAAACGGTACGGTCCCGCCCACTGCTGCCGGTGCCTATCCTATAGACGTTACATCAGATCCAACGTGCTTACGATACCCCTGATATATCCCGGTCTGCATCAGATCCACTTGCATTTGGACTCCGGCATTGAAGACATTCTTGCTTTTTACGTGAAGATTCCGTCCATTACGACAAGCGCAGGCAACACGTAGAGTGCCATTCTGTTCGTTACAGACAGCGTGGCTGCAGTGTCACCTCCCGCCGAGCCGAGGGGCAGAGAATACTGAGGAAGGAATGGTCGGTCAAACTATCCCAGAAAAACGATTATGACTTTTGTGTATTGGTAACAAAGAAAATAGCATCGTGCCAGACAGCACGGGCTTGGAGGGATGGCGGTGACGGCTTCTGCTGCAACGTGCTGTGCTACGGCTGTGCTGTGGCTGTGGTTGGGGCATGCTGTGTCGGCAGGCATGAGAACATGGGTCCGGGCTTGTCGAGAGTTTCTAATGTTTAGACTGTGTGTTATGAATGACAACAAAATTGGGCATGATCGCGGGTAGTACACGTTTAGAAGTGTTCCCATGCCGTGGAGTGACGAGCTGTCGTTCTGTCCCGTCGTGTTGCTAGCCAACCATGGAGG